GGATAGAGGGCACATACCTCAATATTATCAAAGCCATCTATGAAAAACCCACTGTAAATATCATTCTTAATGGAGAAAAGCTGAAAGCTTTTCCGCTAAGGTCAGGAACACGGCAGGGATGTCCGTTATCACCACTGCTATTCAACATAGTACTAGAAGTCCTAGCCTCAGCAATCAGACAACAAAAGGAAATTAAAGGCATCTAAATCGGCAAAGAAGAAGTCAAACTATCACTCTTTGCAGATGATATGATACTATATGTGGAAAACCCAAAAGACTCCACTCCAAAACTGCTAGAACTTGTACAGGAATTCAGTAAAGTGTCAGGATATAAAACCAATGCCCAGAAATCAGTTGCATTTCTCTACACCAACAACAAGACAGAAGAAAGAGAAATTAAGGAGTCAATCCCATTTACAATTGCACCCAAATCTATAAGATACCTAGGAATAAACCTAACCAAAGAGGCTAAGAATCTATACACAGAAAACTATAAAGTACTCATGAAAGAAATTGAGGAAGACACAAAGAAATGGAAAAATGTTCCATGGTCCTGGATTGGAAGAATAAATATTGTGAAAATGTCTATGCTACCTAAAGCAATCTACACATTTAATGTAATTCCTATCAGAGTACCATCCATTTTTTTCAAAGAAATGGAACAAATAATCCTAAAATTTATATGGAACCAGAAAAGACCTCGAATAGCCAAAGGAATATTGAAAAAGAAAGCCAAAGTTGGTGGCATCACAATTCCGGACTTCAAGCTCTATTACAAAGCTGTCATCATCAAGACAGCATGGTACTGACACAAAAACAGACACATAGATCAATGGAACAGAATAGAGAGCCCAGAAATAGACCCTCAACTCTATGGTCAACTAATCTTCGACAAAGCAGGAAAGAATGTCCAATGGAAAAAAGACAGCCTCTTCAACAAATGGTGTTGGGGAAATTGGACAGCCACATGCAGAAAAATGAAATTGGATCATTTCCTTACACCACACACGAAAATAGACTCAAAATGGATGAAGGATCTCAATGTGAGAAAGGAATCCATCAAAATCCTTGAGGAGAACACAGGCAGCAACCTCTTCGACCTCAGCCGCAGCAACATCTTCCTAGGAACATCGCCAAAGGCAAGGGAAGCAAGGGCAAAAATGAACTATTGGGATTTCATCAAGATCAAAATCTTTTGCACAGCAAAGGAAACAGTTGACAAAACCAAAAGACAACTGACAGAATGGGAGAAGATATTTGCAAATGACATATCGGATAAAGGGCTAGTGTCCAAAATCTATAAAGAACTTAGCAAACTCAACACCCAAAGAACAAATAATCCAATAAAAAATGGGCAGAAGACATGAACAGATATTTCTGCAAAGAAGACATCCAGATGGCCAACAGACACATGATAAAGTGCTCCATATCACTCAGCATCAGGGAAATACAAATCAAAACTGCAGTGAGTTACCACCTCACACCAGTCAGAATGGCTAAAATTAACAAGTCAAGAAATGACAGATGCTGGCGAGGATGCAGAGAAAGGGGAACCCTCCTGCACTGTTGGTGGGAATGCAAGCTGGTGCAACCACTCTGGAAAACAGCATGGAGGTTCCTCAAAATGTTGAAAATAGAACTACCCTATGACCCAGCATTGCACTACTGGGTATTTACCCTAAAGATACAAACGTAGTGATCCGAAGGGGCACGTGCACCCGAATGTTTATAGCAGCAATGTCTACAATAGCCAAACTATGGAAAGAACCTAGATGTCCATCACCAGATGAATGGATAAAGAAGATGTGGTATATATACACAATGGAATACTATGCAGCCGTCAAAAGAAATGAAATCTTGCTATTTGCGACGATGTGGATGGAACTAGAGGTTATCATGCTTAGCGAAATAAGTCAATCGGAGAAAGACAACTATCATATGATCTCCCTGATATGAGGGAGAGGAGATGCAACATGGGGGGTTAAGGGGGTAGGAGAAGAGTAAATGAAACAAGATGGGATTGGGAGGGAGACAAACCATAAGTGACTCTTAATCTCACAAAACAAACTGAGGGTTGCTGGGGGGAGGGGGGTTGGGAGAAGGGGGGTGGGGTTATGGACATTGGGGAGGGTATGTGCTATGGTGAGTGCTGTGAAGTGTGTAAAACTGGCGATTCACAGACCTGTACCCCTGAGGATAAAAATACATGTTTATAAAAAATAAAATTTAAAAAGAAAAAAAAAAGAAAGAAAGATTTCAGGATAAAGGACCCTAAAGGGATAGGACAACTGAATGTAACATATGATTCCAGCTAAGCCATGCCTGGACCCTGACCTATAGAAACTGTAATCAACATGTGTGTGCGTGTTTTTTAAAGATTTTATTTATTTATTTGACAGAGATCACAAGTAGGCAGAGAGGCAAGCAGAGGGAGAGGAAGGGAAGCAGGCTCCTTGATGAGCAGAGAGCCCTATGTGGGGCTCGATCCCAGGACCCTGGGATCATGACCTGAGCTGAAGGCAGAGGCTTTAACCCACTGAGCCACCCAGGCGCCCCTTGTGTTGTTTTAAACCACTAAGTTGGTGACAATTTGTTACACAGCACTGAACACTACTACATGGGTCATTTTACTCATGAACATGGATATAAAACTCTTGAACCAAAGATTAACAAATAGAAAGCAGCAATTCATGAAAATGATACATCTCTAACAAGGTAAGTTTATCTGAGGAATAGAAGACTGGTTTAATATGTGACCCATCAATTATTAACCACAACAACAGACTAAAGAAGAAAAATCTCATGATTAAATCAAAAGATACATAAAAACCTGATCACACTCAATGTCTGTTCATGATTACAACTCTCAAAAAAACTATGTCTTTAGGGGCGCATGGGTGGCTCAGTCGGTTAAGTGTCCAACTCTTGATTTCCGCTCAGGTCCTGATCTCAGGGTCTTGAGATCAAGGGCCACATCAGGCCTCGTGCTGGGTGTGGAGCCTGCTTAAGATTCTCTCTCTCTCTGCACCCCTCCCTCCTCTCTCTCTGCCCCTCCCCCCTCTCACTTTCTCTGTGCCTCTCCCCCTCTAAAGAACAACAACAACAAAACTATGCCTTCATTCATACTTACTGGTGAATTATTCAAAGCCTTCCCTCTTAGTTCAAGAGTGAGCTAAGGGTGACTACCATCCCCACTTCTATTCGGCATTTTACCAGAGATGCTAGCTAGTTCAAAGGGTAAGAAATAAAAAATATAAAGATTGGAAAGGAAAAAAGAAGACTGATTTTTTTTTTTGCAAATGACTTGAATGTTTGTAGAAAATCCAAAGAACCTATATAAAAATTAGACTTCGAGTTTTGAAAGGCCCCTGGATATAATAGTGTCAACATATGAATATGAGTTGTGTTTTTACCTGTAAGTATCAATCATAAAATGAAATTTTAACAAGACTCCATTGATGAGAAACTGAAGTATTTGGAAGAAGTTCACTGACTGAAGGAGGAGGAGGGTGACAGGATTTAAGTCCTGCAGAATCACCACTGAGGTAATTTGTAAATAGACCACAAATACAAAATAGCTGTAAGACTCAGCACCTCTAGTTGCCAGCATCCCTTATATGGGCAGCAAAGAATGATCGTTCTTAATGTCTCTGTGCAGTCTGACATAAATGCATTTGGAGATAAATGGGGTGACTGCTATAGACAGACTCTTTCAGAACCTTGCTTTCTGACTGACCAGTAATATATCTTGGAGATAAATCCATACAAAAATGATATTTACTACATTCTTGTTTCTTTGAACTCTGTAGTTTGAGATAATTTCAGACATAGAGAAGAACTGCAAGAATTACACAAAGAACTCCTATACCTTCACCAGATTCACCCATTGCCGACATCAGGTTGTATTTGCTTCATCTTTATCACTTTATCCCCTTCTCTCCTTTCTTCATGTAAATCTATGTCTCTGTGTGTGTCCCTGAACCATTTCAGTGCAGTTTGCATATATCAGGTCCTTTTAGCCCTAAATCCTTCAGTGTGTATTTCCTAAGAACAAGGACATTCTCTTTCATAAACAGGATACGATCTTATAAATTTCAGAAGATTCGGGGCGCCTGGGTGGCTCAGTCAGTTAAGCGTCTGCCTTCGGCTCGGCTTGTAATCTCAGGGTCCTGGGATCAGACCCCTCATCGCACTCCCTGCTCAGGGGAGAGTCTGCTTCTCTCTCTCCCTTTGCCCCCTCCACTAGTGTTTTCTCTCTCTCTCTCTCTTTCTCTGTCAAATAAATAAATAAATCTCTTAAACATTTTTCACAGGATTCAACATTGGTGCAAAACTATTCCTATATAATCCTGTTTAGATTTTGTCAATTGTCCCAATAATGTCCTTTTATAGCAATTTTTTTCCTGATCCAGGATCCTACTCAGCATTGGGTACTATATGTAATTGTCCTGTTTCTCCAGTTTTTAAATTTTATTTATTTGTTTGTTTGTTTGTTTATTTATTTATTTTTGAGAGAGAGAGAGCAGGAGGGGAGAGGGAGAGAGAGAACTGCAAGCAGCCTCCACACTAGCACGGAGCCCGATGCAGAATTTGATCTCACAACCCTGAGATCATGACCTCAACCAGATGGTCAGTCAGCTGAGCCACTCAGGTGCCCCTCCAGGTCTGAAACCAAGAGCTGGACGCTAACTAACTGAGCCACCCAGGTGCCCCTATATCTAATACTTTTAAAGTTTTTAAGCATCTGAGTAATGGTCTCTCATGGCAACATGCTAGAATTTTGAGGGTGAATGGAAATTATTATGATGCGTGGGAAATCCAAGTTGGAAGGTACCAGAGTTCAGAGAGAAATCAGTCTGCAGCTCCTGCAAGGGGAGAGAAACACATACATTGTTGATTACAAACAAAAGGAGCCAAAGTAACAGGCTTGAAGAAATGAAGTTAAAAGGATTCAATGCAGCACCTGAGTAGAAGTGAAAGTCCACCGTGGTCTCACTACAATGACTTCACGGCGGCCCCTCCCTGCAGATGACTTCGGCATCTACTACGTCCTGTGAGCCACTCTCTACTATAGCTTTCTCAAGAACTCGGGGGTGGGGGGGGGTGCGGGGGGCGCGGAATGCCATGTCAAAGGAGTCAGGGGGTACATGCTGCATTTGGAAGGGTTCCCTCAGGTTTGACCCCGTGGAGGTCCCCCAAGAGGAAGGGAAGATGCTCTTTGATATTTAGGCAATAGACACCCCTAACAAGGGACCGTGCAGGACCTCTGAAGACGTCAGAAAACAAACATGAAAATGACCATCTGGTAATAGTGGACACGTTTCAAACTGGCAGATTTGTAAATAGAGGTGCTGAGGTGAGCTAACAGTCTCATGGAGACCCAGTCTTAGATCCTGCACATGGGAAGAAAAGTCATAAAGGATACCAGGCTGCCTTGAGCAATAGCTAAAGGACAAAAGGAAGCTGTGTGTGGACAGAGGAGGCCCCCCCCTGGGAGCCTCTGGCGTTCTCTCCTCTGCACAGGGCTGGCCCCTGCAAAGAACTCTCTAACTCCACAGCTTCCTGTTGAGGACATCCTACATCAGTCACTTGGTCAAAAATGGGTTTAGGTTCCTGTTTATTAACTACGTAATCTGCACCTTCTTAATAGATGTATATATGCTCTTAGAATGTGCATATGCTCTCAATATGTATATATACCATTTATTGTATGTGTACACACACACACACACACACACACACAGTTAATGTACGATACATAAATCCAAGTAACTTGATAGGTAGGTAGGTGGATATTCCTTCTCTCCACATACCACCACACATAATATATATGTGTTTAGGCAAATGACTAAACCATTTAAATGTGGTATCTGCTCTGTAAAACAGGATTTAAAAACAAATATACACACCCCATAAAATTGTGGAAAGAATTAAATAGGAAAATGCAAAATCCACCCATAATAGCTCTTGTTGTTATTAACTACTATCTATTGCTATTATTGTTACTACTAATAATAATTAAATTACTTGCCCAGAAAAAAAAATACTTTGGTATTGATTTATTTAAGATTTATTTATTTATTTTAGAGTGAGGCAGAGAGTGTGTGGGTGAGCAGGGGGAGGGACAGAGGGGGAGGGAGAAGCAGGGTCCCTGCTGAGTGCAGAGCCCCACAGGGGGCTCAATCTCACAACCCTGAGACAATGACCTGAATTGAAATCAAGATGACCGAGCCACCCAGGTGCCCCAATACTTTAGTAGTTAGAGGGAAATTCTGCATTTTTAGCCAAGCAATTCTAGGTCTCTGAAAGGCCACTATTTTCTGTCCTCTGGCTGTGATTTCAGGAAGAGATTTTTACTTCTGCTTCTTGAGCCACTGGCACTGTTCAGAGTTCCAGAATAAGTGATGGGATTTTAGATTCGGGTTTGAATACTTATGTCCCTGGTCAGGAATGTCTTCAACAGAAGTCTCGCTGAGAACTATAGGCGGCATGGGCTTGAGAGGGCCTTACAATCGTGGGTACATATTGTGGTCCTTCAAGATGCTTTCCTTTCCTCCCACATGGCGCCCACACAGTGCAGAGTGCACAGATCATTATGACAACTGCCCTGTGAATGAGGCTGAGGAGAACCCGCCCCATTTCCAGGGAGTGACCGGCCTGCGGAACTTGGGCAACACGTGCTACATGAACGCCATCTTACAGTGTCTTGGCAGCATTTCGCCGCTGGTGGAATACTTTCTCTCGGGAAAGTACATTACTGCTCTTCAAAAGTAAGACCATTTGTGTTCCCTGCCACCCAGCCCCCACTCCCTGCTCCCCCAAGGTGAGGTTAGAGAGGGAGCCCTCCGAAGTCCCTACTCAGGGCTAACCAAGAGCCCCAGAGGCCCCTGGAGACCATTGCTGGGGTGAGTAATGATGAGGGAAATTCAGCTAAGAAAGGAATTTTTTTTTGGTCTGATGCCGCATGCTTGAGTTTTTAAATGCCTTCCTGTCATTGAATCAGCTGGAAACATTCTCTGTCCCTCTTCCAAGGGAGTGCAGTGAGGTTGCCACCGCTTTTGCCTATGTGATGACAGACATGTGGCTTGGAGATTCAGAATGTGTCTCACCAGAAATATTTCGGTCAGCTCTTGGCAACCTCTACCCAGCATTTATGAAGAAGACACAGCAAGATGCTCAGGAATTCTTGATTTATGTCCTGAATGAACTTCATGAAGCCCTGAAAAAGGTATGTAGAATTAATGGCCTTTGAAATAAGAGGGACTCTTCTGCTCTATCAGCAACTTTCGTTTTTTCGTTCTTTCATCTGTCCTGTCAACGTTGCCCCCTCTCTGCCAAGCACAGGTCCTGGAGTACTGCGGCTCACATTCAAGTTAGTATTTGAATTGGTCTGTGTTTACCAAATAATCATTAGAATCACCTGGGAAGAGTTTTACCACACACATCCTAAGCCCCTCACTCGGTGTTACTGCATTAGAATGTCTTGGGCTGTCCCTTGGGAAAGCTCACGTGGTGTTTCCAGTGATCAACAGGTGTGGGAACCACCAATCTGTTCCCTTTGCAAATAACATCTGCACACACTAGTTTTTTTTGAAGTGAAAATCTCAATTTTTTAAAAAAATATATTCCTCGTGAGATATACAGAGCTTTACAATATACAACATACTACAATATAACATACAGAGCTTTACAATACATGTTCTTGGTAACTACAAACCCAAGAAAATATGAAGCTGGGTATCAAAGGATACACCCAAACTGCAAAGTTTCATCTTCATGCCAAACATTCCAAACTGGAGTTCTTCACCGATCAGGACGTACCACCATTTAATAAAACATGAGCTGGCCAGTTACGAAGGGTTTTACTCTTCTTTGTAAGACTCATTGCCTTCAGCCTTGATCTGAGTTCACATACCCTCCAAAGATAGGTCCTTGGTTTTATGCGGTGTCCTTGTGCTGATGTTAGCTTACCTCATACTTCCCATCCAGGAAATGCTTTGGCAAAAGATCGCAAACGATAACCATTAATCATTCTCATCTGCAATCCTCAGTTCCATTTTTCATTTTTACTGCTACTAAGATATTCACGGTAGCACTTTTTTTTTTTTTTTTAGCCAAAGGGGTAGGGTGGTGGTCAGCAAAAACACGTAGGTCCTCATTTGCAGCCAATCTGAAATAAATAGCATTCTCACTCCCAAGACCAGAGCTGGAATTAGGCGCATCAGAGGCCCATCAGGTGGAAGACCTTGGCAGTAGAGCCTGATGAAAGCAGCAAGGCAAAGTGGGGATAGTGTGCATGGCTCAAAGAAGAGCTGGCTGTGGGCTAACGTGTCTTCCAAGTGGACCGTCTGGTGAGGCTGTTCAGACACTGAGAAGTCAGGCTACGCTCCCGGAAATGGTACCATTCAACGTGAGTGAAGTTCAGATCAGTCCGCAAAGCTAACTTGGGCTGCCTTAAGAATTTAAGATTTGCTCTTTTAAAAAAGTGTTTTCTAACAATAAAAGTAAAAGAGGGCAAATCTGAAGGGGCTGGAAGGAGGACAGTTTCCTCCATTTCACTCCTCCAGCAGTCTGCATGAGCGAAAGCTAGCTCAGAACCCTACTCAGCCTCTTCCCAGGAAGAACTGCCTCTAGGAGTCTATGCCACGTTATCACAGGCTCCATGGAGGCTTCTGGGGCTCGGACATGTGTTTTCACAGGTTAGTGTGTCATCATCCTCAGCGTCACTGAAGGAGGAAAATAATTGAATTATCAGAAATCAAACCTAATATATACCTTTTTAAAAGGTTTTATGTATTTATTTGACAGGCACAGAAGAGAGGGAACACAAGCAGGGGGAATGGGAGAGGGAGAAGCAAGTTTCCTGCCAAGCACGGAGCCCGATGCGGGGCTCAATCCCAGAACCCTGGGACCATGACCTGAGCTGAAGGTAGACGCTTAATGACTGAGCCAGCCAGGTGCCCCCTAATATATACCTTTTTAAGAAAGATTTATTTATTTAGAGAGACAGCATGATAGGGGAGGGGCAGAGAGAGAATCTGAAGGACTCCCCGCTGAATGTGGATATTTTTCCCGATGCAGAGCTCACAACCCCCGCGGGGGGTCCACACAGGGCTGAATCTCACAACCCTGAGACCATGACCTGAGCTGAAAGCAGGAGTCGGAGGCTTACCCTACTGAGTCACCCAGGCACCCCACCTAACATGTATCCTTAAGAGGATCTGACTCTATGTATCATCTAAATCCAAAACTAACTGGTTTCTGGTAGCGATGTATCATTCTGATAGAAAAAAATATCAAGTCATTCCATCAAAAGCTTTTTTTGATAACCAAGAGTTGATTTGGGGCTAATTTGTTCCTTGATTCAGTACCATCGGAGAAGATCATACGAGAAAGGGTCTATTCCAAGGTGCTGCAAGAAGGTGATTGCCAATGAGTCCTCCATCATCACACAGCTGTTTGAAGGGCAGCTCAACTACAGCTTCATGTGTTTGAAGTGTGAGAGCTGCACCTACAAGAATGAAGTCTTCACCATCCTCTCTCTCCCCATTCCATCTGAATACGAGTGCTCTCTTCAGGTAGGGAGTGATTCTTGCTCCTTGATGCTCCCTCTCAGGGCTGTTCCCCACACTGTGTATTATGAGGGTGCTGCTTTGTCACTTAAAGCAAATTGGAAGCCCATGAGGACAACATTTACAGCCGAAAGTGACTGTGAATTTGGTTGTAATCCTTTTTTTCCCAAGTTTTTTTAAATTAACATATAATGTATTATTTGCCCTGGGGGTACAGGTCTGTGATTCATCAGTCTTACACAATACACAGTGCTCACCACAACACATACCCTCCCCAATGTCCATCACCCAGCCATCCCATCCCTCCTCAGCCCCTTCCCCTCCAGCAACCCTCAGTTTGTTTCCTGAGATTAAGAGTCTCTTATGGTTCCTCTCCCTCTCTGGTTTCATCTTGTTTCATTTTTCCCTCCCTTCCCCCATGATCCTCTGTCTTGTTTCTCAAATTCCTCCTATCAGTGAGATCATAGGATAATTGTCTTTCTCTAATTGACTTACTTCACTTAGCATAACACCCTCTAGTTCCATCCACATTGTTGCAAATAGCATGATTTCATATTTTGATGGCTGAATGATATTCCATTGTGTATGTATATGTATATGTGTGTGTGTGTGTGTGTATCACATCTTCTTTATCCATTCATCTGTTGATGGACATCTAGGTTCTTTCCATAGTTTGGCTATTGTGGACATTGCTGCTATCAACATATGGGTGCACATGACCCTTCGGATCACTACATTTGTATCTTTGGGGTAATACCCAGTAGTGCGATTGCTGGGTCATAGGGTAGCTCTATTTTCAACTTTTTTTTTTTTTAAGATTTTATTTATTTGACAGAGATCACAAGTAGGCAGAGAGACAGGCAGAGAGGGGAGGAAGCAGGCTCCCTGTGGAGCAGAGAGCCCGGCACGGGGCTCGATCCCAGGACCCTGGGATCATGACCTGAGCCGAAGGCAGAGGCTTTAACCCACTGAGCCACCCAGGTGCCCCTATTTTCAACTTTTTGAGGAACCTCCATACTGTTTTCCAGAGTGGCTGCACCAGCTTGCACTCCCAGAATTCGGTGGTATTTCTAAATGTACTCATTAAAACAGCCTCACTGTAAAAGTGAAATGACAGGTGGGCTTTATTCAGTCTACTGAGATGGCTTGGTGCATATAGGGAATTTACCTCTTTAATTTTATTCACCGTCATACCTAAGATTAATCTGTAAATCGGGGTGGTTGTAGAAGGCAGAGAGTAATAAGTTTCCTTGCAGAATAATACCCATTTGATTTTTCTACCTAAATTATGAAAGCACATCTACTGCGAAAAGTTTTCACATACCAGAATTGGAGAATAGAATCCTACTACTTATTTAGAAGTGGGCTTTGTTCTCAGAATAAATTGTTAAAGATGACTGGAAACAAATTCCCAAGAGACTAACATGTATACTGAACACATGATCTGTGCTCATCGTCCTCGTTAGTTTAGTGGCTGGCAGAGCCGATGGGTCTGGCTGCACTCAGGGTGGCTCCTGTGTGCGCAGGATCAAATTCTGTCCATTCCGCTGTCTTTATTAAGGGTCAGCCGCCAAAACACTGCATATGGTCATTTTTCAGTCTCTGGATCCCTTCTGTGATGAAACACATAACATAAAACAGCTGCCTGACTTGGTTAGTGGAAACTGCACCGTCAATATTGTTCTGAAATAAACCAGAAAGATTAAAATGCTGACCCAGAGATTGGAAGTGAGATGGGCACTTGGATCCATTTCAGTAACTGAAGGAGAAAGAAGCCCCTCCTTCATCAGGTAGACTTTACAGTTGTGCAGGCTGCCGCTAGTGATGCTGGGACCTCCTGGGTATGTTGACTTTGAGGAAAGCGCTGAGGATCACTTTTCCGCAGCTGTTGCAAAGTTGTAAACAGAGAGCCCAGGCTGCCCTTGATCCAATGTAGTCACCAAATGCGTTTTTCCTCCACAGGACTGTCTCCAGAGTTTTATTCAGCAAGACACACTGGCCTGGAATAACCAAATTCACTGTTCCTTCTGTGAAACCAAGCAAGAAACAGCTGTAAAAGCCAGTATCTCCAAAGCACCAAAAATAATTATCTTTCACTTAAAAAGGTATGGATTTTGGCATTTTGTGAAAAATTTTTTTAAACCTTTATCAAAATATCACATATCATGCAGTTCATCCATTTAAAGTGTATAATTCAGGGGTGCCTGGGTGGTTCAGTAGGTTAAGTGTCCGACTGTTAGTTTCGGCTCAGGCTGTGATCTCAGGATCATGAGATTGAGCCCTGTGTTAGGCTCTGAGTACTTGAGATACTCTCTCCCTCTGCCCCTACAGCTTGTTCATGCTCTCTCTCTCTCAAATAAATAAATAAAAATAAGTAAAGTGTATAATTCAGTGGCATTCAGTTTATTACACTAATTTTTAAAAATCTGTGATAAAATATATGTAACATAAAATCTGCCATTTTAACTTTTTTTATTGAACTCGAACAGTGTTATATTAGTTCCGGGTATAAAATAGTGATTCAGCAATTCTATACTCAGTGCCCATCACAATAAGTGTGCTCCTAATCCCCCCTCACCTGTTTCACCCATCCCCTCCCCTCCCCTCTTCTGGTAACCATTAGTTTTGTATTTGAATCTGTTTTTGTGTGTGTATGTGTTCGTCCTTTGTTCATTTGTTTTGTATCTTAAATTCCACATGGGGTGGAAATTATATGGTATTTGTCTTTCTCTGACTGATTTTACTTAGATTTACACCCTTTAGATCCATCGTGTTGCAAATGACAAAATTTCATTCTTTTTTATGGTTGGGTAATATTCCACTGTATATATACACCACATTGTCTTTAGTCGCTCATCTATTTATAGACACTCATGTTGCTTCCATATCTTGGCTACTGTAAATAATGCTGCAATAAATATAGGGGTACATATATCTTTTCGAATTAGTGTTTTTGTTTTCTTTTTTCTTTTTTTTAAAGATTTTTTTTTTAAATTTATTTGCCAGAGAGAGAGAGAGAGAGAAAGCAAGCGAGGCAGCGAGGCAGGCAGAGGCAGTGAGAGAAGCAGGTTCCCTGCCGAGCAAGGAGCCCGATGAGGGACTCGATCCCATGACCCCGGGATCATGACCTGAGCTGAAGGCGGCGGCTTAACCCACTGAGCCACCCAGGCGTCCCTAGTGTTTTTGTTTTCTTTGAGAAAATACCCAGTAGTGGAATTACTGGTTCATATGGTAATTCTATTTTTAATTTTTTGAGGAAACTCCATACAGTTTTCCCCAGGGACTGCTCTAGTTTGCATTCCCACCAATGGTGCATGAGGGTTTTTCTCCACATCTTCACCAACACTTGTTATTTCTTATCTTTTTAAATTTTAACCATTCTGACAGGTGTGAGATGATAGCTCACTGTGGTTCTGATTTGCATTTCCTTGATGAGTGATGCTGAGCATCTTGTCACGTGTCTGGGGGCTGTCTGGATGTCTGCTTTGGACAAATGTTTATTCAGGTCCTCTGCCCTTTTCTAATTGGGTTTTGTTTTGTTTTGTTTCTTTTTAAGTAAACTGTACCCTGAGACCAAGAGTCCCACGCTCTACTGACTGAGCCAGCCAGGGCCCTGGGATTATTTGTTTTTTGGATGAATTGTGTAAGTTCTTTTTTGGTAGTTAGAAGTCTAACGTGGGTCTCACAAGGCTAAACTCAAAGTGTCTGTAGGGCTGCATTCCTTTCTAGGGGTTCTAGAGAAGAATCTGATGCCTTCCCTTTCCAGCCAGAGGCTGCCCAAGTTCTTTGTGTTGTGACCCCTTCCTGCCATTTTCAAACCCTCAGCCATTTTAAGTGTATAATTCATTGGCATTCATTACATTCACAATGTTGTGCAAAAATTACCCCTACTTCCAAACCTTTTTCATTTTTGTAGCAAGAATCCATCTGAGGGGATGTTCTGTATTTGTCACCACATTATATCAGGAGGCACATTGTAAAAGTTTTGTCTCACTATTGGTGATGTTAAGTTTGACCCTGAGTTAAGGTAGTGACTCTAAGATCCCATCATTCAGAAAGGTATAGTTTCCCCTCTATAATCAGGGTGACTCTGGACTCTCGGATATTTTTAAACTTAATGTGCCTAATATCCATTACTATCATCATTCTTAATGTTTAAATTGTTCAAAACTGGCCTGTGGGAACTCCTTCAAGTCTGTTCCTCTGAGCCCATCAATTAGTATATGTTTATTAAAGTATAATTGCAAGTATAAAATGTATCCTCCTTAGGCATACAGTTCTGTGAACTGTAACAAATCCATGCAGTCCTGTAACCATCAGAGCCAACATACAGACTATGTCCATCACCCCAAAAAGTTTCTCATGTTTTTTCATAATCCACCCCTTCTCCCACCCTCAGCCCCTGGAAAAGTCTGATCTGATTTCCATCTCTATAGTTTTACCTTTTCCAGAATGCCGTATGTTATACCATATGTTTGTGTGGTTTACTTCTCGCTCTCTCTCTCTCTTTTTTTTTTTTTTGACTTAAACTTCTTTCACTTACCATAGTGTTTCTGAGATTAATTCATCAGTGGCAAAAGTTAGTGGTTCTTTCCTTTTTATTGCTGTGTAGAATTCCCTTTTGTGAATGTACCACACTTTTTTTTTTTTTTTAAATTCAGTAGTCTTCACGCCCAGTGTGAGGCTTGAACTCGTGACCCTGACATCAGGAGTCACATGCTGTACCAACTGAGCCAGCCAGGCACCCCTTATATCATAATTGTTTATTCGTTCATCAGTTGATGAGCATTTGGGTTGATTCCAACTTGTGGATGGTATGAACACTGCTGCTGTAAACATTAGCATATAGGTTTTATGTGGGTGTAAGTCTTCATTTCTTTTGCTGTGATGCATAGTCATGGGATTGCTGGGTCAGATGGTATTCCCTTAGTTTTTGCAAACAAGTTTTCTTGCTTTCTGGAACGAGATTGTCTCAGGTTCACACACTAATTTCCCTGCACTAGACCTAAATCAGCCATTCAGTCATTTTTCCAAAAGAAACTTTATTTATTTACTTACTTATTTACTTACTTCCCTACTTATTTACTTATTTAGAGGGAGGGAGGGGCAGAGGGAAAAGGAGCAAGAGAGCGAGCGAGCATCTTAGGTAGGTTCCATGCCCAGCTCAGGGTGCAACGTGGGGCTCCACCCCCCAACCCTGAGATCATGAGCTGTGCCAACCCAGAGTTGGATGCTTAGCTGGCTGAGCCAGCCAGGTGCCACCGAAATTTATTTTTTAAAAAGCTCTAGGGAGTCTACTATGAGTTCATATTTGGGAGCTGTTGATCTACATAGCAAATAGAGAATGTGACAAGATTTTCAGAAAATTTTATCTTATTAAAGATATATTGAAACCTCAGAGCTGGGAAACAGGACACTGCTGAGATAACAACGTGTTAAAAATGGAGTCAGTCAATGTGATTCCTACTCCCTGATGCCAAGCCTGGCTTAGTCCCTGTCTTCTTTTGTGCTGGACTCTGCACCGTCTCACCCCCGGACTCACAGCCTTGGCACAAACAATTTGGTTTCCGGTGACACCGTGGAGTTGCACATTATAAATACACATAGATAAGAAAGAAATGTATGTACAGGTCTGTGCCAAATTAGCTTTCCAAGAAATTACTTCTAACTGTAGTTGGAATTTACCAAGGTATGTAGACTTCATTCACAAATGATTTACAAACTTACTTTATATTTTGCACATTTATTCTCTCTCCAGATTTGACATTCTGGGTACAATAAAAAGGAAACTGAGAACAGATATTCATTACCCACTCACTAACTTGGACCTTACCCCTTATATTTGTCCAGTTTTTCGGAAACACCCTAAATATAACCTCTGTGCAGTGGTGGTAAGTAAAATACTATTTAAAACAGCATAAATTTAGAGAAAACTGAAGCATTATCTACTTGAACATCTACTCTCACCTTTCCCTCGTTTCTCCTATATTCTCTTTTTTTTAAAGCAAAATATATAGCCTGGAACTTTCTGTGTTGACTTCAAACAGTAGAATAACGAAAGAATAAAATGTTCTGTCCACAGCTTCGTTACTTTCCCTCCACTTACTGGCTATTTCAGATCTGGGGCATTTGCAAGTTGGCCTGTGGGGGCAGCAGAAGTTAGTATGGATAGCTTTATGTTGAATATTCGTGAGCCGTTCTATGGCCAAAGTTCCCTGACACTCCACACAGAATAGTCCCAGAGTCACTGCCTGTGTGCTTCCAGTCCTAAGGAAACTCTGGCTGGGTTGGGGGAGTCCCCTTTGGCTCTAAGTCAACCATCACTATTGAGGATTCCCTGCAGGAAAGAAAGCATGGATATAATTCAGACCAAATCACTAAGAACATCCCACAACGTCAAACAGCCCCAAGCACCAAGCCATTCTCCGGTTTCTGTTCGGGATCTCAGTGTAAACAGTCTTTAGAACCTGGAGGTCCAGTGGGGTGCACAGCAGATGGGAGGGATCCCACCAGAACCCAGTATGCTTCCCCAGGGTCCTCTGATGCACCCAAGTCTCGTTTGCCTATTCAGCTTGTTGAATTAACACATTATAAAATGTTACTCCCACTCTTTAACCTCTTTCACATCTCAGAACCAGAACTTCAACCTTTAAAAAATAATCCTTCTTTTTTTTTTTTTTTTTTTCTTTTTATTTCAAGCCTTGACATTCCCCCTCTTTCTCATTTATCCTGACCTCATAGGAGCTTTTCCTTCTCTCACTTCCCTCCTGGAGATCTAAAGTGATGTCCTCTTCTCTGTCATATCAAATATAGACTCTACTGTGGATTCCAAAATGACACAGGAGCCACCTCCCTTGTATTTCACTGTTTATATTTCTCATTACGTGTTTCTTCTTTAAGAAAATCCAAGAGACAGAAAGCTGAATTTGTTTAAAAAAAAAAAAAAGTATATAATTATCTACATTATGAGAAGATAGACATTTGTAAAAAGAGTCATTCCAAGCCTCCTATAAATTTGTGATCTTTTTGGTGTTTAAATTATTATTAACTGAGGGGCCAAAAATTGGTTTCAAAAGAGAAATAGATTTAGAATTTAGAATCAACTGCCAGATCATAATGGAAAATCAGCTGATAATCTTATTGGGGTCCCTTGTATACAATAAGCTGTTTTCTCATGCTGTTTTTAAGATTCTCTCCTTATCTTTCACTTTTGACCTTTAATAATTTAATTTTTTTTGAGGTGGGAAGGAACAGAGGGAGAGGGAGTAAGAGAATTTTTTTTTAAAATTTACTTATTTATTTATTTGACAGAGAGATCACAAGTACACAGAGAGGCAGGCAGAGAGAGGGGGAAGCAGGCTCCCTGCTGAGCAGAGAGCCCGATGTGGGGCTAGAACCCAGGACCCTGAGATCATGACCTGAGCTGAAGGCAGAGGCTTAACCCACTGAGCCACCCAGGTGCCCAGGAGTAAGAGAATCTTAAGCGGCTCAATGTCCAGCACCAATATAGTACAGACCCAATGTGGGGCTCTGTCTCAGGACACTGAGATCATGACCTGAGCTGAAATCAAGAGTTGGACTTTTGACCAACTGAGCCATCCAGGTGTCCCCACTTTTGACATTTTAATTATAATGTGTGTTTGTATGGGTCTCTTTAGAAATCTCTGGACCTGGATTGTCTGTTTCTTTCCCCAAGTTAGAAAATTTTTCAGTCATTATTTCTTCAAATAAGTTTTCTCCCCCTTTATCTCCCTCTTCCTTCTGGAACCCCTATCATGCAAATGTTAGTCTGTTCAGTGTTATGCCATAAGTCCCTTAGCTCTCTTCATTTTAAAATTTCATTTATTTTTGTTGTTGTTGCTCTGACTGGGTGAATTCCACTGCCGTGTCTTTAAGTTAACTGACCCTTTTTTCTGCCTCAGCTAGTCGCTGTTGAACCCCTCCTGTATTTTTCAGTTCAGTTACAGTGTTCTTCACCTCTATGACTTCTGTTTGCTACTTCTATTTTCTGTCTGTTGAAGTTCTCACTGTGTTCATTCATTCAGTTCCTGAGTTTGGTGAGCATGTTTATGACCGATACTTTAAACTCTTGATAAGGTAAATTACTTACCTCTGTTTCATTAAGGTCTTTTCTGGGGTTATCTTGTTCTTTTAAGACATATTTCTCTTTTATTTTGCTTAACTTCCTGTGTTGGTTTCTGAACAATAGAAGCAATAGCCACCTCCTGTAGCCTTGAAGAAATGGCTGTATACAGCGCAGGAACCTTATTGTTCGACCATGCCCTAGCTTTTGTCTTTCAACTCTTTGTGATTGTCCAAGCAGCCTATTTGATTTTTGATGGTTCCCAGTGGTTGACAGTGTTAAATGTCCCAAAGGGGAGGATCTTGGTCAGCAGCTAGATTTAGGCATACTGGAAGCCAGACCCTCGGACAGCAGCTTTTAAAGTATGACAGTACATACCTACAGTTCCGTGGGACCACATGCATAAAGGCTTGCTGGCCACCAAAGGCCGGACAATCTGGAGGTGTTCTTTGGGCAACAGTTGGGGAAATCAGGGCCCCAGACGAATGTAGAAGCTCCCCTCTGAGAGACAGCAGTAAGTTGTAGCAAGGCAGAGGGAGAACACAAAGATGGCATCTACCAGCCCAGGGCCTGGACGGCACCTCTGCTGGACCCTAGTTGTGTGCCAAACCTAAAGCCTTCTCCTCAGGCTTCATGAAGCCCCAGGACAAGCAAATAGGCCTCTTTCACAGAAAGACTGGGCGTGTGTCTCATTCTGCCATCTGTTTGTCCAGTGCCCTGGGGGCGATAGCAGGCCAGGAACTGTCTCTGATGGTTACAATCCTGTAGGACCCAGGAACAAAAGCCGCTGTGCCCACCAGAGCCAGGCAGTTATAGAGAATCCCTTGGTTGGCATTCACAACAACCAGGGCACCAGACACAGGTTAAAGCTCCACTCCGGGAAACATCAGCATGCTGGAGCTTGGCGGGGGGTGGCGCGGGGGGGGGAGGGGCTCTTGAAGATGACTCCCGCTGGCCAGCAGGACTCTCCATGTGTGCTGCATTAGATGCCTGCCTTTCAGGCCAGGGCTTTAAAATTAGCAAATGAGCCGCATTCACCTAAAGCCGCAATTGGCTGCCTCTGTGTTGCACCCTGGGACAAGGGAGTTTGAACCCTTTAAGAGCCACGATAGCTCGCTATAGCCTTGTGGGTCTCATGGATGCAAGTGGTGCTGGATTTTGGTGTGTTCCTGGGAGGAGGTGAGCCCAGGATTCTACGTCGCTGTCTTGGGTGAGTATCCCTTTTTTCTTGATTTTTTAAAGGGAATAATCAAGAGTAATGCTTGCCGTGTTTTAGTAGCTGTACTTTGTCAGGTAATTGATACTTCCATCTATTTTGGTTTTGCTAACACTTTTTGTGCATGTTTGTAAAGGTGGTGATTTTATTAAATCTGTGTCTCTACAACAACTGAGAAATGGCCCTCCTGAACCCTTTTTAATTCTGTTGATATGTTGAATTATATTTATAGATGTTCTAACTTATCTACCCTTTATTTTTGCTACCCTTGAGCTGCTGGGCTAAATACTATTTGGTCATTATTATCTGAGATGTATTTTGCTTGATCTGGTTTACCACACTTTAAGATTTTTGCAATAATCTCTCGAATGAGCCTTATCTCTGCTTTTCTTCCTTATACCCTTTGTCTAGTATAAGTACCAAAGTTAAACTGACCTCCTGAGTTAGAGGAGCTTTTCTTCCTTTCGTATAGAAGTTTGTGTATAAGGCTATGGTAAGTTTCTTTACGAATTGATAGAACTCATCTGTGTAAACGCACCTGGGCATGCATTCCCCTTTGAGGGGTGATTGTTAACTCCTGGTATAATTTCTTTAATGCTTGTAGGTCTATACAGGCTTTGTATTTTCTTCTTCCATCGGTTTGGTAAGTTATAATTTCCTGTGTATTTGTCCATTTCATCTGAGTGTTCAGTTTTCTGGCATAACTTTTTTTGGGTATTAAAAAAATTTTAAATTTCTGCTGGATCTGTAGATATCTGTACTTTTTTCATTTCTAATTTTATGTACTTAGTATTGTTTTGTAGTTTTTGATTAATCTTATGTCTATATTGTTGAAGCCTTTTCAAAGGACCAACTTTTGATTTTTGATCCTCCTTATTATATCTTTGTTTTCTGGTTCATTAATCTGATTTTATTATCTATTTCCACTTAGGTTCATTCTCTTTCTTACTGTTTTTAATTGGGAACTTAGTTCATTAACATTCACTCTCTTCGTTCATATGTAAGCCTTAAAACTCAAAAGTTTCTCTGGATAATACTTTCACTGCCTACCACATTTTAAATTATAGAACCCTTGAATACAAAATGGAGAGGGTAATAATGCATCCATTACCAGCATTATAGATGAGCTATCAATTCACCTGTAGCGCCTGGCCCGCTCTGCTCCCTGAACCATATTATTTTTGTATTCCGTATCTCTTATGCATTAGTTTTATTGTGTTAAAAGACTATGATCTGTATGAATCCAATTCTTTTACATGTGTTGAGGCTTGTGTTTGTCTGTTGATTAGGAATCAGCTTCCTTATGTCCTGGAAGTTAAATTTGTGTTATTCAAAGCTATCTCAACCGTGTTTTTGTTTGACTAATTGGTGGTTGAAAGAAATGTGTTGAAATCTTTATTTGTTCATTTTACAGCGAACAATCAGGAATGATGCTGTAGTTTTTAGTAGCTATACTTTATCAGGGTGTGGATTTTTCCTTTTGCTCTGGTTTTGCTAATAGTTTTGTGCATGTTTGTAAAAGCATTGAATTTTATTAAATTTTTTTCCCACAACAATTGAGATGCTTTGGTTTTCCTGAAATCTTTAAAATC